CGTCTGGGCTGTTCCTGCCCCGGAACCGGCACGGGGCCTCAGAAGCCGCTCATCCGGGAGCCCCACTCAAATCCCCCGAAGCTAAGCGCCCCCCACACACCTCCCCACGGTAACAGAGCCGCCTCTTCTCCCTGGCTCCCCTCCAGCTCTCCCCAGGCTCCACTTTCTTTTCTTCACAAAAGGTCCCCTTCAGGGCTCCCACCAAGGCCTGGCCAAGGGGCTGGAAGGAGACCCTCCCCAACTCCATCCAAGCGCGGGAGCTGGGTAAGAGGCGGGGAAATGAATATTAATTTATCATGATTAGGCAAATCCGGCAGGGAGAGCCGATTCCGGAGGAGGCTAAAAAGATGAATTTCAGCAATAAAATTAAATAAGGACGGACGGGCAGCCCCTCCTCCCTCCCGCTTTGCTGATCTCTCTCTTTCTTACAATTTATGAGGCCAATTATGAAGATGAGGTTGGAAGTTCCTGGAACTTCACTAAATGCAAACGGCGGTCCCTGCTGTTCCCATCAAATTAATTAACCGCGCGCTATTGATGGCCGCTCAAGGCTGACGCAGGCGGCCCGCCCTGCGGCCGCCTCCACGGACATGAGGACCCAGAGTCTGGAGCCAGCCAGGGCTCCACCTTCTGCTGCCGGGCACTCCAGGACCGCCCTTCCAGCCCCCAGGCCCTGCCCAAGCCCTTGACAACGTAGGGGCATGCCCACAGAGTCTGGATCAATGCGCGCACGGACTCATATGTGGGGCTGCCCACGCGTACAAATACAAAATCCTGACCGCGCCGCGCACACACTCGGCCCGTAATGCACATTAGACACACAGACAAATGAACGTGCAGTCGAACAGGCACAGTGACAGCTCAGCTGAGGGACTGGAGCCCAGTGGGTGAGGGTGTCTTGCTGTGGCAGGACCACCGTGTCTAGGGTCATGGACCTGCTTGGTCAGGGCCAGGCCAGAGTCCTGCAGAGCCATGGGCCAGGTGAGGTTCCACAGCCACTCAAGCAGTGAGCAGTGGCCCCCTTATGTGGAGCTACTGGATTCTGGAGATGTCCTCCACGGCATCCTCAGAGCCCTCCCCCACACTCCTTCAACCCCTGGGTCCTCTCATCTTCAGGCCCTTCTTCAGGAATGTTCCCTCTGGGTCTTTCGCTGGGGCTCAGCTTCTGCACTGACCTCCAGTGCGGAAGACCAGGGCTTGTGGAGGCCCTGGTTCAGACGACGGGGTGAGGCTTGGCCCAGAGTCTCAGGCCAGCTTCGGGTCTTCAGCCCTGAGGGGCCCCCTGTTCCAGAGCTCAGAAGCAGGGCTGAGCGGTGCCTTGGGGGTTCTAGAAAACTAGCTGGCTGGTGCCTGAGCTAAAGGGCAGAGTGGACAGGGACTAAAGGTCTTGAGGCTGGGCCTCAGGCCCAGGGCAGCGCGTAGGTGTCTGCAGAGGCTATAGGGGGCGGCAGGTGCCCCAGCTGCTGTAGCTCCCAGTGAGGCTGATCTCTGGGATGGTGGGAGGGACTGGAAGGGGCTCTCCTGAGGAGTGAAGAAAGTGAAGCCAATGTCTTCTCCATGTTGTAGTCCCTAGTCCTGGCAAAAGGCAGCCCATCTCATTCATTCATTCATTCATTCATTTTTAAGGATTTTATTTGAGAGAGAGAAAGCACAAGCAGGGAGAGATGCAGAGGGAGAGGGAGAAGGAGGCTCTCCACTGAGCAGGGAGCCCAAGGTGGGGCTCGATCCCAGGACCCTGGGATCATGACCTGAGCTGAAAGCAGACACTTAACCAACTGGGCTCCCCAGCCCATCCCATTTAAAGGGACAGGAATCCTGTAGCTCTCCTGCAGAAGCAAGACAAAGGGCCTGGGGTTTCCATTCCCAGCCCTTAAAACCTGGAGGGTAGGACATAGCTGGACTTGCCCACCTTGCCATGTCCACTCCAGGCCAGGAAGCTTCTGGCCCTATGCCCACACCTACTCCCCCATGAGCAGCCAGAACCCAGGAGGAGAGTGTGGCCTTTTCTTGTTCCACTTTCAGTGCAAGTCTGGGGTCAAGATCAATGTCATTCCCCCAGCCCCTGGGAAAAGATGAGGCTCCCCGCTTGGCAGAGTTGGGGCAGAGCAGTCTAGAGAGGTCTGTATCTTGGGCACAAAGTGTCAGAGGGAAACTGAAATTAAGGGAGGCTCACACTGACCAAGTGGCAGCCAGCTGGAGAGGGGTGGGACCCAGGGCCTTGCCCACCACCTGGCCCTCCCCTACTCCAGGCATATGAGGCTCCCACCCTTCCCTACACCCCAGCTGCAATTGTGGGGGGACCTCCTCTGCCTCACAGCAGGTCCCTCCCCTCACTATAAAAGGAGACCAAGACACACCCAGTTTACTGGTTCCCTACTGTTGCAGTAACAGACTTAGTGGCTTAAAACAACACGAAGTTATTACCACACAGTACTACTGTTTAGAAGTCTGACACAGGTCTCACTGGAATAAAACTGAGGTGTTGGCAGGGCTGCGTTCCTTTATGGAGGCTCTTGCATAGGCCTCTTCCAGTTTCTAGATGCTACCCACATCCCTTGGCTGGTGGCCCCCTTTCTCTATCTTCAAAATCAGAAACATATTGCTCTGACCTTCCTCCTGCTGTCACATCTCTCTGTGTAGGTTTTCCACTTTTAAGGACTCATAATTAGATTGGGTCCACAGGATAAGCTTATCTCAAAATCCTTAACCTTAATCACATCTGCAATGTCTTTTGCCAAGCAAGGTCACATATTTACAGGTTCTAAGGATCAGGATGTGGACATCTTTGGGACACCATTATTCTGCCTACCATTCATGTGGTCTGGCCAGGGACAACTCTGGCTCATAGATGGAGTGATGACAGCTGGGTTTGGGGCAGAAAGCAGGCTTGTGGGCCCTTCTCCTCCTCCTCAGGACCACATGGTGACTAGGTGGTAGTTTTGGGGTACTCAGTTGCTAGACAGGATGCCAGTTGCCACCAGGGTTCCAGCAGAATGGGACAGTGGGCAGCAAGCTTACTCAGAAACCAAGTCCAGACTCTGAAGTACCTGGAGGACCTTCCAACACACTAAACTTTGCTTAGTTTGCACTTGGAGAACCACCCCAAACTGGGCAGCCTTTCTCATGATGGAAATCCCTCCACCGGCTCTTCTCCTGGGCTCGTGTGTCAGATTGAGCAACCAAGAGGATACCACCTCCAGAATGGGTCTCTCTGGAAGGTGTGGGCACGCTCCCTTTCTATCCCGATTTCCTGTTGTCCTTGCCAGGAGGTGGGACCGTGAGTTTACATGGTTTGAAGGTAATGTCTGGAATTCTGAAGCTCCTGGGAGGAGGAGGAGGAGGAGATGCCAGGAATGGGGTCAGGTCCCTGTTTTCAGACACAGAAGTCAGCACTGTCCTTCTCTGTGGTTCTGGGGACTTCCTGTGTGTGGGAAGGGGTTAATTGGCCAAGTTACCCCATGACCCACTGGTTCCCTCTTGTAGCCCTGGAGGCCCTATTCCTCTGGGCCTGGAGAGGCTGCTGAGCAGGCCAGGGCCCTGAAGAGAGAAGCAAAAGGAGAGAAGCAACTTCCACATTTGGACCTGGACACTCCAGGCTTGGGTTTCTGCCAACTCTGACCCTTGCTGGGAATGATGGCAGACACTGGGGGTCCAGTCCAGAATAGAACTGGCAGAACTTGTGAGCGGGGGCCAGAAGCAGCCTTGGGGGCCCAGGAACTTGCCCAGCTTATTCATTCCAGGTGCCAGTCAGCCATGCCTCCTTGGGAGTGGAAGCTCTGAGGAACTCACCCCTCACAGAGGTTTCTGGGCCTTTCATTGACTGTCTCTGGTTGGTACTAGGCTGTGTAAGGGTCCCCCAGACTCCATGAGCTTTGGATTCCTTCCCTGGCATGACCCATGTAGGTGGGGCCCAAGGTTGGGACTTCAGGGTTCTGAACTAGGGTACCTACTCTGAGGCTGCCAGGAGCCCCTGACTAAAAATCAGGCCAACAATGAGAGATGATGGACTCTGAAAAACAAACTGAGGGTTTAGAGGGTAGGGGGGTGGGGGGATGGGTTAGCCTGGTGATGGGTATTGAGGAGGGCACGTTCTGCATGGAGCACTGGGTGTTATGAACAAACAATGAATCATGGAACACTGCATCAAAAACTAATGATGTAATATATGGTGATTAACATAACAATAAAAAAATTAAAAAAAATAAAAATAAAATAAAAATAAATAAAAATCAGGCCAACAAAGGCCAGCTCTGGGACTCTCGTTACTGACATAGAGGCAGGACTCAGCACCTACCCTCCAGTCCTGCCTCCCAGCCAGCATGCTCCAGCTTGAGCCCATCTCTGAAGCCACCAAACCCCCCATGCCATCAGGCCTCTCCAGGCTCCTCCAACACAGCCACCTTCTCCTGCGTTATGCCCATTATTCTCCATAGTTGGTATGCCCAACTCCATCCTGCAAGCCTCTGAGCACCATCCTGGTCCCGCCAGCTGGGCTTGCTCCTATCTGTTCTATCAAACTAAGCCCCTTAGCCTGACTCCCAGTCCTCCGTGTCTGGCCTCCTCCTGACTTCGGCAGAAGCATCCTCTCTAAAACATGGTCTTTAGTTGTCCCCAAACACGCAATTTCTCTGCCAGCCCGCCCCTCCCCTCCTCCAGGCAACCTTCTCTGACTGCCTCAGCACTGTTGGTGGCACACAAGTCACCATTTAGTTGTTCCTAATGAGTCTTGTCACCTCTGTTTATGTCCCAATAGCCTGTTCTAGGGCAGGGCCCACAAGAGCTGCTGATGGGGAGACAGGTGCTCCTACTGCCTGACTCCATGAATTCTTCCTCTTACCCATCCACCCCTGCCCCCTTCTGAGCTCAGGAGCTGACTCAGGCCAGCCCGGCTAGAGAGCACTTAACTTGTCTTTCTGGGATCCCATTCAGCTCCCATCTCCATCCCCCGACCCTGGGTGGAAGGCAGGGAGGGACTGCAGCCGCTCACAGACACTAGGCAGTCAGAATGTCAAGTGCATTTTACTGGGCCCCTGGGCCTTCAAATGCTGTCCTTACTGAGCCTCGGTTGCCCCCTCCCCACACCTCCAGCTGCAGAGGAAGCGGGCCGCATAGTAGGAGTCCATGTGGAGTAGCGCATTCTCTTGCTCCAAAGGGTCTTAGGTGATGCTCAGCCACAGCTGTTTGCCCCTTCCCTTGCCCCTTCCAAAGCCTCCTTGGGTAGGGAAGAGGGGTGTCTGGGCCTTCAGCACAGGAAGCTGGCTTCACACCAGCACCTGTTCTTGCTTAAAATGGGGCAGGGGGCCGTGTACAAAACTCTACCAGGGGCACTGGTGAGGTAGAAGGACAGCAGTCTGCTCCTGTTGAGGAGAGGGCCGGGCCGAGCCGAGCCTGGGAGCCAGGCTGGCCCTTTCCCTCAGGCCCAGGTGGCGGAAGTGGTGAGGTTCAGCCCACTAAGGCTGGAGCTAAGTACTGGATGGCCAGGTGGGGCAGCCAGTCCAGCTTGGTGCCTCCTTCTCCCCCCCAGCCGTGGGTCACCAGTCCCGCTCAGCTGGTTCTCGGTACGGTAGGCCTAAAAGCCTGAAGACATCCTTCTCAGTGGGGGTGGGCAGCACTCGGCCAGGCCCCACCTTGAGGCCTTGGGTGTCCCGGACCACAGAGGTGCTGAGGGCATGCTCCGACAAGCTCATGCCCTTGGTCTTGGCCAGAGCCCGCATGGAGCGGTTGAAGTGGGCAGAGCCAGTGAAGTAGAGCAGGGCGCAGGCAAACTCGCTGTAGGGCACAATGATGATGTCCAGTCGTCGGTGCCGCCGCCCCGGCCCGGGGAGCTGGCACACCCCCAAGTACTTCTGCTGCTGGCCGTTCTCCTCCTGGCTCACCAGGTCATCTGTCAGGAACCCTGGCGCAACATCGGAAGGCCGCTGGGAGGGCAGGGAGCCAGGCCCAGGCTGCCTGTCTTCCCAGGTCTCTCCTGTTCATCCCTGAGTCCTCCATTCCCAGCTCACAAATTTCATTGCTGGCTGACCTTGCCCTCTCTGGGCCTGCCTCTTTAAACCATGCAGAGTCATTCCTCCCCATGTCCCCCAGCAGAGTCACAGGCAGGTGAGATAAACCTCGACCTGTAGGCAGTAGTGAGCACCTATTACTGAGGGGAGGAGTGGCGGGCTGTTTCGTCTCTTCCCTTCATGGCTCTGGCCTCAAGGGAGAGGTGGTATTCTCACAAAGCAGCCCTCCCCTGCTTCCTGCCTAGAGCTTGCGACTCTGAGCCTCTCCCTCCCAGGGGTCACCCTTCCTGCACTGCCCCAGCCAGCCCGCTCACCCAGAGACAGAGCTTATACCTTGGTGCCGAAGGCTGTCGAGGAGAGGACTGAAGATGCCCTGGTGAGACCGGCCATCCGGGTGAGTGAGCAGCACGTCCACATCACCACAGGTTGCCTTCCCCCGGCGGTAAGAACCACATGCCACACACAGCAGCCCGGGGTTGAAGACCTGAGCTGCTTCCCGGACCTGGGAAAGAGCGGTGGGCGGCGGGGGGGCAGCAGGGAGGGCCTGTGGGCCTCAAGCCCTGCATGCAGTTCCTCTCCCAGGGCAGCACAAAAGACTTCCCTGACCCAGAAGCCCACATGTCCAGCTGATGCCCCGAGCCAATCCCCAAAGGTGTGATACAAGCGAGGGAAAGCCTCAAGGAGCGGAGCCATAAGTCTACCCTGGGGAATGGCAGTTCTCCAGCTTCACTGGGATGGAAAAGAAAATGTGTTCCCAGCACCAGATTCAGCCTGAAGAGCGAGCTCAGAGGCGTATACTCGGATTCTGAGGGAAGGCACCGATCTTTCCTCCTAGGGTTCTTTAAGAGCAGAAAGACACACCTTCTCTCGGCCCCTGCCCCGACCCATGTGCCCAGGTCTGTCCACTTAGGACAAAGGGCCAGATGCCTGGAAGCCCTCTGCCAGGTCTCAGCAGCCCCAGATATGGATCTAGAGCTAAAGGCAGAGTGTGTGAGTTGGGGCTTGAGGTCTGAGCAGGTGGCTAGCAGGGTGCCCCGGGCCCAGGTCTAGGGGGAAATGGAGCCCAGATATACAACTGTACCTACAATAAAAGAAAAGGAAAAAAAAGCCAAGAGGGAGGCAATTCTGAGCCAGTCCTCACACCCTTACTTGGAGGAAGGAGGCTCGGGGCTTGGAGAGGGAGCCAAGAAAGAGGGGGCTGTCAGCTGAAGGATCATCCCTCACTGAGGGAAATAAGCCCATTAGCCTCTACCCCAGCGACATGGAAGCCTTTCGTATGCAGATGGCCTCCATGCCTTTACCCGGACACTGAGATTTCTGGGACCCTGCATACTTTGGCCAGGACACCTCAATTCTCCTGACAGGCCAGGCTCTGCTAATCCCTTCACTCCCTTCTTGAGCCTCCCAAGAGGATGGGAGGGGACCTACGATGAGTAATCCCATCAAAAACTAAAGCTAGAGCCCTTCAATGCCATGTGGGAAGCCCCTTCCAATGGGCTGGGGGCTGGAGACTCACCGGGACATTCTCCGTGCCTGGACACCGTGGCTGAGTGACGGTGTCATCACTAGCACCAAGGCCTGGTGATGGATGGACAAAAGGGCCTGTCCATCCATCCTGTGCCATCCTCTTATAGTCCCATAGAGTAGAGCAGGGAGGCTGGAGGCCTGGAGTAGAGCTGGAGGCTGATTTCAACTAAGGTGGGCCAGGGTCTCCATACAGTCCTACTTATCAAAACCTGCTTCCAAAGTAGCAAACCTTGCCCACAGCAACCAGCCCCTAAACCTGACACCAACTGAACAAATTATATATCTAACCCCAAGTATACACTAGTCTCTTTCTAACCTAGGTTTTATAGGAATTTAATCCCTAACCCAACTTTAAATCAAACCCTAATGTTGGCCAAATCTTATTTTTAGGACAACAAATCTTAGCTAAAAGCATCCAATACTAAGAAAACCCTACTCTTAATTCAGGCCTAACCTTAATTCAACTCAACCTAAGCTTTCCTCTGACCCCAAACCTAATCATACTGGCACTGTGCTTCTACACCAACTCTAACCCAAACCCTGAACCAGCCTCAGGTTGTAGGGGGCTGGGTGGAGGGGGGGAACCTTCAGAAGGCCTGCACATCTGGAAATAGATAACTTTGTACATCTGCACATATTTTGGAGACAAAGAGTCCATAGTTTTCACTGGGTTCTCAGAAAAGTTTGTGAATCAAAGAACATTAAGAACCTCTGCTCTGACCCACCCTGACCTAACCCAGTTCAAACCCCAATATCCTCAAGTAGTTCTGACAGTAATCCGCCTCTAATCCAGCCCTAATGCCATTCTAGCATCTAAGCCAATGCTTACTCTACCCTAATCCAGAGACCTGGTGTTACAGTGCTTCCCTACCACAGCCACCCACACTTCCAGCTTCAGTCTCAGCTGGCCCTATCCCCACTGGTCCCAACCTCTGTCTCACAGCTTCCTCTGCCTGGCTCCCCAGCTGAGGGATCAGGTGTTCTTGACTTCAAGCCAGGTCCTGACCTTATAGCAAGGCCTGGCTCTCCTCACCGCTCTGGGACAACTACTTACTGTCTGCTCAATCTCTGTAGCCTCCTCCCGGGGTATGCGTTCCAGGAAGTCATCATAATGCTTCAGACCAATGGCCTGCTGGGTAGTCAGGGAGGCCTGGTTGCGGATGTCTTCTAGGGTCCGGAAACCCTGGAAAAAACAAGCCAGGTGAGGAGGCTATGAGCAGCCAAGACCAATGGAGAGGCAGTGAACGAGCACATATACAAGGCTTCCATCACCCCCAGATTCCAAGGAAGGCCTGAGGCAGAATCAACCCCAGGAGTGGTTGGATCTGTAATCAGCGGGACTCAAGAAAGGTAGGGAGCATGGGAGACACACCCCAATCCAGCTCTGCCCCGACCCTAAAATACTGGTTCATAAGTCCGTTGGTCTGGGGGATTCTGGGCATCACCAGGTTGGGGAACCATTGATCTGGATACTCAGCCTTTAGGCCTTATCTTCTCAGAAAGGTCCTTGCTAGTCTGAGAGACAGAGAAACACACTTCCTGTCTCTCTGCCTCCTTGATTAATTCCTTGAGGCTATCAGGCAACAGGGCAGTTCTGGGAGCAAGAGAGGGGTCTACATGAGCCCTAGTCCCCTTGAAAAGTGGTCTCCTTCTAGTCCTGGTTCATTCCCATCAGAGCACAGGGTATGAAAACTGGGGGGGCAGGACCTCTGAGAAAGTAAAACCGAAGTGGGTGCTGGGACATGGTGTGACCTGTTGGTACCACATCTGGGCAGTTTTGGTTCCAGCTCCCCAGATGTTGGAGAAGAGCTCCAAGACAGGCACGCTCTCACTGATATGGTCCAGCTTCCGCAGATGCCCGCTGTCCAGGATTTCTGCGATTTTCTCAGCCATCCGCTTTCCAATCCCGGGGATACCGAAGGCCTCCTGGGCGGGGGCAGGAAGAGGCAGGAAAAGCAGAGTGAGAAGATGGGAGGCGTACAGCCAGCGATGGGTCAGCAGACTCTTTTAGCAGGTATCTGAGTAAAAGCCAGCTTGGCCAGTTAGCAGCTGATGGCTGTGTGAAGCCTGGGCACAAAGGAAGATGAGAAGTTTGGATGGGACGGGCTGGGTCACTTGTCTTTTGGTTCTCAGAGGAATGGAGATCAGCACAGCAAGTAGAGAAAAGGCAGCAGTGACCACACTAGTCACCACTGTCATGGCAACAGCGAGAGCGGGGCATTCACTGAGGCCTTTCTGCGGATCAGGTCCCGCACTGCAGGGAGCATGGCATTTCGTCCTCCCAGGAGCACCTGAGTCTCTCACTAGTCTTAGTTCCTTTTCATTGCTCAAAGAGTTTAAGTAACTTGCCTAGAATCACACAGTTAATGAATGATGGGAACCAAAATTCAAACCCTGGTCTGTCGGCCTCCAGAGTAAACTTTTTAAAAACTTTTTACTATGGGAAAAATTCCCATAGTAGAGAGAACAGTATAATAAACCCCCACTACCCATCAGCAGCTTCTATAATTATCAAAATTCTATCAATCTGCTTTCATCCATCTCTCCATTTTATTTCTTTTGTGCAAGTCTCTGTTATCATAAAATCTTAAGCACTCCACCTGATCCCCACTTGTAACTGGTGCCCAGTAAACAGAAAGCCCCCCATCTCCCCGCATCCCCTGCCCTGGCCCCCAGGTACCTTGTAGGAGGTGACAGGCTTGTGGAAGCTCTTGAGGGCATTGATGGCCTTGGCATAGCCCAGGGCCCTCCACTTGTCTCCCTGAACACCGTAGGCTTTGGCCAGCACTTCCAGCTTCTCTGTGAGGTGGGGGTTGTGGTTGATCGCCTTCTGGCTCGAAGACTGTGCACAGACCCACTTATCCAGGCCCTTAGGGGCTGGACTAGGCTCACCATCTCCCTCAAAGAGAGTGGAGTAGTGGCCGCTGATCAAGGCTTCCAGATCAGCTGCGCTAACCTGGGTCTCTTCCCCGTCACTGGTTTCATCATCATAGCCAGGCTTAAGGTAAGGAAAGAGAAGAGACAAGAAATTCATGCCCCCAGCGGCCCCCAGGAGAGCTCCTCAAAGGTGGGGGCTGAGTCTCCTAGTCAGACCCAGGAATGAGGCTGGGTCTCCTGCATCAGACCTGGGTCTCCTTAACTGTGGGGCCCTGTTCATTTTGGCTTCCCCCAGCGCCCAGCCCTAGAATCCCCAGTGGTGTGTGGCAGATGTGGGCCTGGGCAAATGCCGACATGATGAGTGTTGGGCAGAGCCAGATGGCTTCACAATAAAGAGATCCTTCCTCTGTCAGGGGCCTGGGACTTTCTGAACAACCACCAGGCCCTCCCTGTTTCTGTGACCTAGTTCCCAGGGGAAGGGAGCTCTGAGGGCTGGGAGGCTCCTGACCTGGGCTTGGGTGCTCGGGGCCTCCTCTGTCCTCCGGGGAGGAGATACAGGCCTGGCGGGAGGACGGGGAGGAGAGAGGGCTGTCCTGAGCACATCCTCATGGGCTCCAGGAGGCACAGAAAAGTCTTGGTCTGCCTTGCTGAGCTGTGGTTGGTCCAGGTACCTGCAGGGATGGTGATGGGCAAGTTTAACACCCAAAGGCCTGGCCCTCCCTCTGCTCCCAATCTATTCTGAAATCTTGGTTTTCTAATGTGTCCAATTAAGACAATGAAAGTTATTTTTTTAATAACCTAAGAAGAAAGCTCAAGATGCTGCCAGGAAGCACTTGAGGAAAGACAGAGGCCAGCTCACCTGTTGGGGATGCAGATGCTGAATCCTGCTGTGTCCACTAGCCTTTTCTCCTGCAGGCACAGGCTCAGCCAGGCCGACTTCACCAGCTGAACACCCTGGGGTAGCTGGGGCAGTCGAAGGAGGCGGAGGGCTCGCTCACAGTCCATGCCTTCATCCACCACAATGTGAGTGACCCCTGGGGCCTGGGCAGCGCATATGTGGCCACCATGCTTGATAATCTGCTTCTCAAATAGTTCTGCCCGGGCTCGCCCAATGCCACTGGGCACAACATGGGCCCGCAGGGAGCTCAACCACTCTGTGGAGGGGACATCCAGATGCCTATTGTCATAACTGTCAGATATAATCCAAACGAACCCTTTACAGTCCTGTGCCCCCAAACAATCATTTTTCTTCCATCCAGAGAGCCAGCCTTCTGGGGATTCTGATGCAAGCATACAGTTAATTTCCCCATGAACCATCACTTGATGTCATGGGCAAGGATTTCAATGTCCTGTTCCCTCATGTAACCTAGAACAGTGTAAACACTGCTAGAGCACATTGTAGGTATCCTGTATATCGCTTCCTTTGATCATTTATTCTTTCAAGTATTAATAGACACCTACCTCTGCACAAGGCATAAGGCACATATGACTTGCCATTACAGGCCTCATCGTGTAAGAGCTATTCCCCTCCCCTACCCGCCACATGAACTGTTATTTGTCAGCTTGGCTGCAAAATAACGTAGCTCTGGGGACCTGAGTCTCCCCCCCCCCCATCCCTCTTCAGGCAACCTCCTGGACAGCAAAGGATTCTGCTGGTCATCTCCTTAGGGACCAGAGAGTATTTTCTGACTGATGGAGGTCTAGGGGTAGGGTAGAAAAGAACACAGCAAGTGGCCTGTCAAAGACTGGGGCCCAAGCCTAGTGCAACGAAGATACAAACCAACCCGCAGGCCATGGACTGACAGAACCAGCTCTAATATCTGATTCTAGACATAAACAATATGGGAAGCTTGAGGGTTCAAGTACGTGAGGGTTCTGAGGGTGGATCTGCTCACCTCCTGCTTCTTCTCCACCTTCTTGCTTGGGAATCTTTGTAAGTGCTTTTGATGATGGATTGGCATGAATTTTCCTCCGCTTGGGAAATGCCTTCAAGATGCCCCCAGGGTCCATTGAGGTATGGCCAGATCACGGCCTTAGGGTTTTAGGATTGATCAGGGCAACTGTCATGTGGAAACCCAGAATTGAGGTTACCCAACCCTTTGCCTATGGAGGTGGGCGTCTCTAATGACCAGGCTTTGGGGGCAGTAGTTCAGTCCCTGGGCGTCTCCCAAAACCCACCTGAACTTAAGCAGTTTAGCATAGCACTTACCAGCCCTTCAAAGTCAGAGTACTGGGGGAAATAAGGGGAAGAATGGGACTACTGGGGAACTCTTGAGGGGTACAAAATGATACTCCCCAGAGGGGTTGCTCTAAAGATTCAGTGCAGTGTCTACCCTGCTGCAACCCACTTTGAAAGGGCTTTACCAAAAGGGGATGCCAGGCTAGGAAATGGAGCTACATCTTTAGAAAGGGCTTGGGCTCCCAAGAGAATTGAAGGACTGAGAGGACTCTACATATAGACCCCATGATCTTTCTCTACCCCATCACAGACCCGCAGAGGAAACCTTGGCGGTGGCGGGTGTTCGGGAGGCGGGGGAACGCTCTACACCTGCCCGGCGGCAGGCCTCTCATCACGGGAGTGCTCAGCCACGCAGCTGCGGGGAGATGGGGCATGGCCGCAGCAGGTGTGGGGCGCCTTCCGAGCCTGGGGGAGTCTCGGCCTCACAGCTGGGGGTGAAGACAACCGGCAGCTGTGGGGCACCTGCTGCGTCTGTAGCTGGCGCGCGCCAGCTACTCCCAGCTGGGGACCAGAGGAGGGCTGGACTGTCCGGACCCTGCCCTAAGGGCCCCTCCCCGCCGCGGCGATTCGGTCCGCCGGGGCAGGGGGTCAACTTCAGGCCCCTCGGGTCACCCGCGGGTGGGCAGGAGTAAACCACTTACCAGGGCAGCCAATGAGAGCGGACGAAGGGCGTGGCGGGTGGGGGGGAGGGCAAATGCCCAGAACACCTTCCGGGTCGGCCGGAAGTGATCGTAGGCGGAATGGTTGCCATGGCAGCGGCTGGTCGCACGGCTGGGCGGAGGGAAGATGGCGGTAACCGGCTGGTTGGAGAGTCTGCGGACCGCCGAGAAGACGGCGCTGCTGCAGGACGGTAACTCGAGGCCCCCACGAGCTCCCTAGTCCTTTCCCCCAGGGTCCAGCCCTCCGCGCTGGCGCCTCCGCGAAGGGCCTCCGAGCCTGGGACGGCCAAGCTGGAAGGGCCACGGCTGCCAGACTAGGCCCAGTCCTGTATTGGCAGATGAGGAAACTGAGGCCCGGAGAGATGACGTGACTGGAACACGCGTCTCTGGATACCTCCTCGTTTCCTCTACACCACTTCGCCCTGCTCTGAGTTCTGTTACTAATAAATATTAACTCCTTTCATATTCATTATGTCGTTTGCTCCCGACAGCTGTCCCAAGAGGCTGTTAATTTTCCACCCCATTTTAGAGAAGAGGAAACTGAAATGAAAGAGGGTTTTAGACCAGCCCTAGCCCCTCGTCCAGTCAGTGGGGTTCTGTTGCTGAATGCAGCCTGGCGTAATGAAGAGGCGGGAGACCTGGGCTCTAGTTACTACTCTGCCATTAAGTCACAGCCTCTTTACTTGCTCGGGCCTTATTTTCCTCATCTGTAAAATGAGCTGGAGGGGCTACCTCTGATGTCCTTTCCAGCTGTAATATGTCTGTAAGTGAACTTCTAAATGTTCCCTGGGGTCTGTAGGGAAAACAGCAAGGGTCCCGGCGCTGTGCCTGGAAAAGGTGGGCATAGGGAGTAAGGAGCCCTGATTTTGTCTCACCCTAGGATTGACGGATGTAGGACCCCCAGTGCTGCAGGGGTCCTTTCCTTGCACCCCCTGGCAGCCAGATGAATTAGGTCTAAATTCCTGTAGCTTGTAGAGCAGCTGGAGGTGCACATCCAGGGGCAGAGGCCAATCAGGGAAGCATGGAAATTAAAATCACCTGCTCATTTGTTCATTTGTTCACGCAGCATTTAAGGAGGCTTTTACTATGTGCTAGGCTGTGTACTAGAGCAGAGAAGGGGAAAAAAGATATGTAAATAAATAAGAGTGGGTGTTAAGTAGAGGTTGGAATCTTCTATAAAGTGTATGAGGGCACGAAGATGGAAATGATCGTCCCTTTGAAAGAAGATCTGACAGAAAAGGTGATGTTTATGGGTCCTATTAATACGTGTTTGCTAAGTGTGGAAGAGGGAATGATCCACGTGTAAAGAAAGGTATGGATTTGTGGAAGTATATGGCTGATTACTAGGGGAATAACATTTAATGAGGCTTAAGCGTTCCCCCAAACAACCCCCCACACTGTCAGGTACTAGGTGCTAGGATGCAAGGGTGAATAAAAGTTCTCTTTTCTCAAGGAGCAGTGAGGAGAAATGGTGGGAAATGAAGAGGGATTTTGGATAAATTGGGGTATGCTGTGATCTCCTTTGCCAAGCTAAAGATTTTGGACATTTTCTCATAGTACTGTGGTTTCTGGTTTTATGGTAAAAAATAGATAACCTAGAATTTACCATTCTTTTTTTAAAGATTTTATTTGTTTATTGACAGATAGAGACACAGTGAGAGAGGGACCACAAGCAGGGGAGGAGGGGGAGGGAGAAGCAGGCCTCCCGCGGAGCGGGGAACCCAATGCGGGGCTCGATCCCAGGACCCTGGGATCATGACCTGAGCCGAAGGCAGACGCTTAACAACTGAGCCACCCAGGCGCCCCTAAAGATTTTATTTATTTATGTGAGAGAGAGGGAGAGAGAGCGCGCATGAGAGCGGGGAGGGTCAGAGGGAGAAGCAGACTCCCCGCTGAGCAGGGAGCCCGATGTGGGACTCGATCCTGGGACCCCAGGATCATGACCTGAGCCAAAGGCAGTTGCCAACCAACTGAGCCACTCAGGAACCCCTAGAATTTACCATTCTAACCATGTTTAAGGATGCAGTTCTGTGGCATGAAGTATATTCACATTGTTGTGCAACCATCACCACCATCCATCTCCAGCACTTCTTCATCTTCTTCAACTGAAACTTTGTACCTGTTAAACACTAACTCCCCCATTCACAGCCTCTGGCAACTACAATTCTACTTTCTGTCTTTATGAATTTGATTATGGCAGGAATGTAACCACCTAAGTGGAGTCATACAATATTTGTCCTTTAGTGACTGGCTTATTTCACTTACCATCCACTTATTTCACTTCAGTGTCCATCTGTGTTGTATGTATCAAGGCTAAATAGTATTCCACTGTTTATAATCATACACCACATTGTGTTTATCCATTCATCTGTTGATGGACACTTGGGTTGCTTCCACTTGTGTAGCTATTGTGAATAATCATGCTGTGAACATGGGGGTACAAATATTCAAGTCCCTGCTTTCACTTCCTTTGGTCACAGGATGGTAGCTAAACAAATATTTCATCGTCTAGGATTTTGTTAGGTTTTTTTGTTAGTGGCATCACAAAACAATGTTGTTGGTCTTTCTTCCCCAAACCAAATAATAATAATAATGTTAAGTGTATGGATACGTCTTGTCAAACCTCTCCTATAGATTTACCCTCCTGATGGGTGTGTGGCTGTGAGGAGGATATTACCTCCCTCCCATGAAAAAGCACTGCTATTGGTAATAAGAACCCAATACTCCAAATTTTTTCCAGAAAGAATTTATGCTCGTTGTGGAAATATGAAAAATAAAATCACCCATCAACTACCATCTAGAGATAATCATAATTTACTTTTTAAAAAAATATTTATTAGAGCACAAACAGGGGGTATGGCAGAAGGAGCGGGAGAAGCAGGCCCCTGGGGAGCAGGGAGCCCGATGTGGGGCTCGATCCCAGGACCCTGGGACCATGACCTGAGCCGAAGGCAGATGTTTAATGACTGAGCCACCCAGGCGCCCCCTAAATAAAAATCTTAAAAAAAAAAAAAAAGGAAAAGAAAATGGGGCGCCTGGGTGGCTCAGTCATTAAGCATCTACTTTCGGCTCAGGTCTTGGTCCCGGGGTCCTGGGATTGAGCCCCGCATCGGGCTCCCGGCTCCGCGAGAAGCCTGCTTCTCCCTCTCCCACTCCCCGCTTGTGTTCCCTCTCTCGCTGTGTCTCTTTCTGTCAAATAAATAAATAAAATCTTTAAAAAAAAAGATTTTTATTTAGTATTTTAGAGACAGAAAGAACGAATGGGGGGAGGGGCAGAGGGAGAGAATCTCCAGCAGACTCCCTGTAGAGCCCAATGCAGCGCTCCATCCCACAACCCCACAACCCCGAGATCGTGACCTGAGCCGGAAACAAGAATTGGATGCTCAACTGACTGAGCCACCCAGGCACCCCCATAATTTATATTTTCATGCATAAACTTCCATATTTCTTCCATGCATGTACACTCATACATGTATTTTTTTTTTTTTTACCAAAGTATACTAATTGTTTATTATTGGGGCACCTGGGTGGCTCAGTCGTTAAGCGTCTGCCTTCGGCTCAGGTCATGATCCCAGGGTCCTGGGATCAAACCCCGCATCGGGCTTCCTGCTCCGTGGGAAGCCTACTTCTCCCTCTCCCGCTCCCCCTGCTTGTGTTCCCTCTCTTACTGTCTCTCTCTCTGTCAAATAAAAAAAATCTTTAAAAAAATTATCCACATATATACATATACATATATTCCTGTAGAGTAAATATGTATTAGAATAAAGTACAGATAATTATTATATAATCTTCGGGTAAGGGAGGATATTCTGAGCACAACTCTGGGTAGTAACTACAAAGGAAAAAATAGTTGACTATATAAAAATTAAATGGTTAATATCATAAAGGTCAATCAGATTAGTAAGAAAAAGATGAATACCCAAATAAAATATGCTAAGGTCTAAACAGGCAATAATTCACTAGAAACATGACCAATAAACCTTTGGAACAGTGTTCAACCTTACAAATATTTAAAGCTATAGACATCATCCTAGTATGGTTATTAGAGCATGGAATTTGGCCTCAAATGAGCTTAAGTCTGGGTCTGTCCTTTCATAGCTTTATGAGCTTGGACAAGTTACATGACCTTTAAGCCTCAGTTTCCCTCATTTGTAAAATACGGGTAATGGGGGCAGATAGGATTATTTTGAGAATTAAATTCAATAAAACACATAAAATGCCTGGCCAGTAGTAAGCACTGCATCCTGCCTGGACTCAAGATGGACTCCAGTGGGAGAAGAGAGTCAGGCCAGACACCTTCACCTACTCACAGGCAGCACCTTTTACCCCACTCCTGACAGGAAAACCCTTTCCAGCTCTATTAGCCATCCAAATGATTTAGGGTGCTGAGAAGCCCTGCAAATTTGGAGATGAGTTTCCCCAGAATACAAATTAGGAATGACTCAAGGGAACTGTGTCCAGGGGAATGAATTAAATGGGAAAAAGTCTTGGTAGATCAGATACAGTTGCAAATTTTAGGTAGTGACTCCTTTAGCTGCTCCTTGGAGCTCTTATTTATCAAGTGTAGGTTGGGTACCTGTCCCTGTTATTAGGCTCACTGAGGAGCGTATCTATGTCAACTCACCCATTTGTAAAAATAGGGGACATTAAATAGTCACTTTAAAAAACAATACTTATGATTATAATATATAGGTGGAAGAGTTGGGCCAGGAAACGCCCCTGGATTCTTGCATTCTTTCAGTGAAAGTTGAATCAATGTTCATTCTTCCAATTAATACTTAGTTGAGCTCCTAACATATGCCAGGTACTATGCTTGGTGTTAGGGAAACCATAGGGAAGCAGGGTAAAACCCCTCCTATCTAATAGAGACAGGCGATAATCAAAGAATCACACAAATGTAAATCCTAACAGAGGTTAAGTGCCATGAAGGAAACATAAGAGGACTAACATTATGTGGCTGTGTGCTAGGAATGGCCTAGAGACATGCAGAAGGCACAGCAATGGTGTGGCTAGATGGAGTGCTTGTTCAGGAAACCCAGTTCAATATCCTGAGCACATAGGCTTGGTTTTAGGAACTGGGGAGACGAAGATAAATACGGCACTGTTCCTGGAGAGAGGATGCTCTTTAAAAAAAGTACCATACTATATGATAAATGCTCCACTGTGGATATGAATAAAGCACTAGGGAGGCCCAAACAAATAAGGAAGTGATGAATTTTGCCAGGGTGGCTAAAGACTTCCCAGTGGAGTGACATTTGAGCTGGATTTTGAAGGGCAAGGAGTTCAACAGATGAGAAAAATTATGGAGCTTTGCAAAGACACGTTCAGAGAAAGCTGCAGAAAGGAAAGGCGTCCCGGGACTTGTCTTAAAGTAGTGGTGGGCCATGATTGGTAAGAAGTTCATGGGAGGGTTTCTCATGCCCAAGCCCAAGGCTGTTGGTATTTCCCAGTAGATCCCTTGATGTGCAAGGCGCAAGGTAAGAAGAGGCGTGAAGGTAAGGCACTCTCTGCTTTGTGCGTAGGGAGAAGGAAGGTGCACTATTTGTTCCCAGATGGAAAGGAAATGGCCGAAGAATATGATGAGAAGATGGGCGAACTACTTGGTAAGTGACGGGGGCTTCCACTGGGCTCGTAGGAACACTTGGGGTGTCCTAAAGCATGGGTAAGCAATTCTAGCCTGAGGCTTGCGGGAGGAACTGAGCACCAAAGGTGGAAGCCAGGGGAGACTGAGGCCCTCAAGGCAAGATTGTTCCTGAGAATAATGTGAGGTCAGGGCTGGCCACCACGGGTGGAGTGGACATCTGCTTGGGGGGTAAACTCCACCAGACCCCTAGATCAGTGAGAGTGTGAGGAAGTCTTCTATAGGGAAACTGCTGGGTTAGAACTGTAGAGAGAGGGGCGCCTGGGCGGCTCAGTCGTTAAGCGTCTGCCTTCGGCTCAGGTCATGATCCCAGGGTCCTGGGATTGAGCCCTGCATCGGGCTCCCTGCTCCACGGGAAGCCTACTTCTCCCTCTCCCTCTTCCCCTGCTTGTGTTCCCTCTCTCGCTGTCTCTCTCTCTGTCAAATAAATAAATAAAATCTTAAAAGAAAGAAAGAATGAACTGTAGAGAGAAGGCAGAATTGGAAGTGGGCCTCTACTCCAGGCTGAGTGGGTAGAGGTAAGGGCAGGCTTTAACTGCAGTTGTTTTGCTTGTTTTGCTTGTTTGTTTGTTTGTTTGTTTTTCTGAAGCCACAGCCGCAGCAGGTACTGGTCCGGCCTCAGAGGCCGCACTGTTAAATCTGACCCTTGCCTTGGAAAATGTCTGAATCAAAGGGGGTCCTGAGTAGAAATGGGGATTTTGCAACATTGTTGTTTTCATTCCTACAGCTCTTTTCCTCTAAGACTAGTCTCATGAATAGGGGCTCCAGCTCAGATTTCTGGGAATTACTTGATTTGTCCATCCTCTGTGCCCAGGTATGCACATCAGCATTAACGGACTTCCCAGAGCTAGGTGGCTGCTGATTTGACCCAGGACCTGGGGCTCTCAGCAGTGGGAGTTGGTCTCTTTATTAAGTTCCACCTGAAATGCTAAATCCAATGGTGGAATCATGGCTTGGGTTATTTTCTTGTCATTATTCTTGACTTTAATTTCTTCCTGGGCCTGATCGACAGGTAGTATTGGCAAGGGAATTTCTTTTTCCCTTTTTCTGACAGCTCATAAATGTCTAGAACCGACAACACGGATTACACTGGTTTGCATTTTCTTAGTCTCCAGTCTTAAAATGTGTGTCCTGCGCATGTTCAGTTGCAGAGTGAAGTGTTGATCCCTCCTTATTATGAGCTGCTTGGGTTCCAGTCCCAATTGGTTTAGTCTGGTGCTATTAAAAATCTTGATTTGTTTAGCATATGACACTGATTTGGTGGAAACCAATACAGTAGTAATATCCTCACAATGCATTGTAATTTATAGCGCTCCCAGGGGGTGACAGCCTTGGAATGCCTAACAGGGGCGAGCTTATGAAAGCAGAGGTCACGTGGGCTAAGCACCACCATTGCCAGGCCAGTTCCTTCCTGCAGCCCCCAGCACCACCTCTCTCCTCCACTCAGAGCAAATAACCCACCTAGAGCTGCTGTGGCCATAAAAACAAGCAAACAAATAATCCCCAGCCTCTTAGTTGTGCTTGGACATGAAATTAAAATGAAAAATAAGTTTAGGTACCTTCCTCTGTAGCATCCCGCATTAACCTGTCACTTCTCTTGGCAGATGGGGAATAGACAAGGGCCTACAAACTCCTTTTTTTTCTTAAAAGCAGAAATGGAGATTGATAGAACACTGGCTAAAGTTTACCTAATAGTGATATCAATACCATAACTTTTATTAGGCACTGTGCTAAGTGCTTTATATGAGTTATCTCACTGAATCATCCTCATTACAGCCTGGTGAGGTACGCACCGTTGTCCCCTTTTACAGTCAGAAAGAAATGGAAGCTCTAAGAGGTTAAGCCCCTTGCTCAGAATTCCAGAGCTGGTTAGTTTCTGAGTTAGGATTTAAGTCTGAGTCTGCCTGGTTAAGAGCCCATGCTATGATGCACAACAACATACTGTTGGGAGTTGAGAATATTTAATCCTGCTCTCTGTTCTTACTAAACTTTGTTCCCCCCAGAATGACTGGAGAAGGGGCCGGCGGAGCAGGACAGAGACGGGCAGACAGGAGCACCCCACTTGAACCCCGGGGCCTTCTCTCACCGGTCTCCGATCGCTCCGCCCTTCCCCCGCCAGCTGCCCTTGCAAAATTATTAATTTTTAAGTATAAACAATCTCGGCCTGAACTAACATGAGCTCAAGCACTCTCTGAAGTAAAATACAGACAGGGTTGTGATGGCCACAAATGGGAATCGTTTCCATTTTTCCAGCTAACTATACAAATTTGATAATTGGCTAAACTGGTTTTCTGTTAGAGAAACCCAGAAAGTAATTTGCCAGTGGTGCATCTGTGTAGCATGGAGTTCTTCCAGTCGGTGTTAAGCATAGTGGTCATGTTTTTTTTTCAACAGTCTCGATGCTATTCGTTCCCACCCCGCACAATGAGTGCTGTATGTAGTCATAGGGGAAAACCCGAAGGGCCCTGTAACAATGATCGGAACATCAAACCAGCCCCAGAAGGACACAGCATGTCCAGGGGGGCAGAGGCTGAAGGGCAGGCCATCCCCCATTGTTACATTCGGATTACCTTGGATTACCGGCTTAATCTGCTTTGGTATTTGACCGCCAGCCTAACCACCCCAGGCTGCATTTGGAGGATATTGAGCACTTTCATCCCCAAGCACTTCACCGGCTTTATAAATGACCCACTCGATTCCCTTCCGCCTCCTCAGGGATGGGACGCGGCAGCTGTTTAATAGCCACAGAGCAATGTTGCAGTGTTTTAAGGGCAGAAAAGAAGAATCCTGCATCCAGTTTAAGCTGCAGGGCGTATTTAGGAAAGGGGAATGTAATTATCCACATTGGAAGCAGGCCACGGCTTGGAGCTTTGGGGAAAGAACCTGTAGGACCCCCACTTTCCAGCCTACCTGAAAGATGGGGCTTCCTTTCAGCAGTCAAGGACATCAGCCTGCTTCCTGCTGACTCAGGAAGCAACCCCCAGGCACTGTCTCCTTCACATACTCCCCATCAGACCCCTTGGGGTCATTGAGAGGCTCCTTTCCAAGGACTGGCCCTGGCTCAGCCAGGATACGACAGTGTCCCGGGGAGCTACCCTCCACACACCAGTTTGGGTTTAACATATAATCAAATCAGAGTGACAGCAGGTGGAAACAGCCCTCTGTTGCCGCAGGAACTGTCCTTGAGTTAGGAACAAAGACAGGACAAGACAAGACAAAGTATGTATTTGCACGTGTGCATTCATGCCCATATACATGGGGAAAATAATAAGGACTTCACCAAAATCGTTTATTGGATCTTATAATGGAATGAGTAGGGAGCCTTTCTTCTACATTCTAGCAAAGAATTTAATCCCAAGGTGTTTAAAAAAAAAAAAAAAAAAAGGTGGTGAAAGAGCCAGAAGGCTGGCCTCCAGTTAAGCGAGGTATTACACGAAGAGATTTGGATATACTCCCGGTCACAGTCCATTCACTTAAGAGAGTAGAAGTATTTGTGAAAAAAAAAAGTTGCCTGTAAAGCATATTTCCAAGTTTTACTCGTCCTTATTAATTTTCATTATAAACTTGGAAATGTGTTTCTAGGGAGAATTTTTGGCCCTAAGACGTAATAAAAATCACACTGCAGAATGCAGCAGACCTTATAAAAGCACATATTCAAGGGAAAATTCTAATTTTACAGCACACTTTTGTGTTCAGCTTGCGTGCCTTACTTGGAGCAGGGAGGGTGTTTGGGTTTGGCACAGCGGCTCCAAAGGTCTCGAAGAAACCCATCCTGAGACTCCGACTCCAGGTCTCACCGCCCCCAGCCCAGAAGGAGGGGTGGCCGGGAACACCTGCCGCACAACACCAGGCACTTTTTGACCTTGTAGCTCCTTACAACGGCTTCAGGAAGGCTGCTGGCCTTTGGTGGCACTTAGGCTGCCCTCCTAGAGGACATGGATGCTTCAGGAAGAGAGAGAAGCCCTGGGGTTACAGCTCGGAGGGGGTGGGGGGCAGGGAAGGCTCCTGCCGTGATGGCTGCACCTGGAGGACATGGGTGACTGGGATTCCCAGAATCCTGGCAGGGGCCCTCAGATAATGCCCACTGAACTAATTTTTTCACTTACAATTGCCATACCGTATGCGCCTTACTTGGGGGTGGGGGGAGCTTCTGTAAACATGTGGGTTGTAAACCAAGGTAAAATAGAGACAATTGTTTGCATTTTAAAAGAATGATCCTACTCTACAAAAAATATTCACGAGATATTCTATAAATAATGCATTTAAAATCTGGTATGTGCCTAACATTTTGTTTAAATACAATTCTGGGGCTGTTGTTTTAAGCCAGGTATACCTGAAATGAGTGAATTTCTGTGTTTGGACTTTCTAAATCATGAGACAAATCTGCCTGTCAGCTTTCATCTTCTTATTTTTCCTTTGCACATTTGTAGAGGGAAAAAAATGCATTTCAGTTCATACTTGTTGGGATCCAAATGTTCCCCGTTACCAGTAGCTCCCCTTTTCCTAACCAGCACATCTCTCCCTTGCTTGAAATCACACCTGGAGGATTCTTAACTCCACTTGGCTCCTTTCAGAGCTTTCTTCAATCCCTTTGGTTTAGGTACCCGTGATACGGGCTTTCCAGGTTATCCAGTATCAGAATGCTCTGCTGGGCTTTGGGCTTTCGGCAGCTGGGAGGTCCTGCTCACATGGACAGAGCTGGTGTAAAGGCCATGCCCCGCCCACTTCTCTCCCCTTCCTGTCATCTAATGTGATTTAGCAGGAAGAGAGAGTCCCTTCCCAGTAATCCCATTGCTTCCTTCTCTCCCCAGTGAGAAAGTGGCGAGTGAAAAGTGCCTTGGGAGCCTTGGGCCAATGGCAGATTGAGGTGGGAGAGCCAGCACTCCCAGGCGCAGGGAGCCTGGGGTCTGAATTCATCAAGGAAGACAATGCCAATGTATGTCTCTCTGTTAGGTGTCGGGAAGGGGTGGTGGGAGTGGGCCTGGAGGGCAGACACCATGTCTTATTCACCACCTTGTCTCCCGTGTGCCCACCTGGACACACAACTCTGGAAGTGTTTGCCTGAATGAATACCCATACTTGGGTATGGTCATCCTTGAATGAATGAATGAATGAATGAATGCTTGGCTTGGTCATCCCAGGACAAGGGCTCCAGGCCTGGAATGTCACAGGAATAGCATTGTCAGGGGGGAGCTGTGGGAAGAGCTGAGGGTCTCCTGTTGTGGGCCCCAGCTGGAGCTTTGCAGAGCAGGAAGCCATCCCTTGCTGGCCCTCACCAAGAACAGTCTCTTAGTTGGATTTGCCTTCTGCAGCCCATCTTCATGCGCAAGGACACCAAGATGAGCTTCCAGTGGCGGATTCGAAACCTCGCCTACCCTAAGGACGTCTACAGTGTCTGTGTGGACCAGAAGGAGCGCTGCATCGTTGTCCGAACAACCAACAAAAAGTAAGTGGCATGATGGGCACCTGCCGGCCTGTGGGAGGGCTTCCTCTCTGCAGGATCAGCTTGAATAATATAATCAGCTCCCTTAGGGTGGGAAATTGGAACAAGGAATGTCTGGTCCAGTAACTGGCACATACTGGGGTTCAACAAATATTTGTTGAATGAGGGGATGAGGAATCACCTGGCCATTAATTTGTGATCGTAGGTGGTTCTGCTGTAAGATTATTACCTTGACCCCCTGGCTGGATCCAGTCCATGGTGAACTTGGCCTGGTGACATCACTGTTGGGGCTGTCAGGGAGCCATGGCCTAGAAGGCACACCCAGCTGAGGTGGCAGTTAGAGGTCTTAATGTACTGGTCTGGGGTTAGCCAACCTTATCCCGCCCAGGACTGAGGGGCAGTAGGCAGGTACTTTGGCCTCCTGGAAGTCTCTTGTGTTCTGTTTCAGAAGGGGTACCTAACTTCCCTTTATTTCTCTCCTAGTGTTCTGCTGGGGGCAGGCAAGGGGAGAGGGGACGGAAGGTGGCCAAGGAGGAGATGTGGTCCAGGCAGGGCTGTTTCTGGGCTGACCATCTTGGAAATGCATTGATCCTATTTAGATTTCCAGAGCTCTGACTAATCACAGGAGAACCCTGTTAATGAGCTGGTCTTGACCTGGGCCAGAGGGGTTGCAGTATAGGACCAACCCCCATGAAATACAGTTGAGGTGTTAAAATGGAAGGTTTTATGAGTGACTGGTCCACACACTGAAGCCATCCAACATGCCTCGTGGGTGCTGAGCTTGGGCCAGAAGTGCCGCCATCCATCCACTTGTTTATGTGCAGTCAGGAGGGTCCGGCTCCTCGAGGGGTGTGGTGCCGCCTCCCCTCCCAGGTCCCTCAGGTCCACGAGGCCCACAGGAAAGCAGCACAGCTCCCAGGCTCCCCCGGTGCAGCCTTGGGTTCTGCCCTCTGCTTATGACCCCCGTACCCTCTCACTTTGGCAGGGTTAAGGGGATGGGGAAGGGGTGGAGATGAATGAATTAATTTCAAGATTATTGCTCTTCATGCAGCCAGCAGCCCCTGCAGTGGGCCTTGTCTATAAATATAAAGTCATAATAATAAGGGTTTGCGTTTATAAAGCACTTTGAAGCCCTCAGATAAAAGGCAGTTTATTCCCGTTATTGTTCTCATCATTAATGGGAGTCAGTGCCTAAAGTGGAATTTAGCAATTTCAGACAACAGAGAAATTGCCTTTAGGAAAACAAACTCTGTGCTTCAGCAAGCATTCCCTGGCGTAAGAGGCCCTGGGTCCAAACTGGGAACAAAAGTGCTTCTGATAGCACTTGAATCTGCAGCCTAGCAGTTTGTAGAGCTGGCTGCTGCCTCCCTTTTGTCCCCCAGAGGTCACTGTCGAATACAGATATCAGGCAGAAATGTGATTACTGGGGAGTGAGAGAAGAGAGGCCAGCTAGCTCACCAAAAAATTCATCTGCGGGCAGATCCTCTGGGTCCCATCTGCTGCACATATCCAGCTGTAGGCGGCGCTGTTGGCCAGGAGCAACATGGCTAGAGGCCCACTCCTGCGCTCAAGGCAGCGGGAGACATTTTCGAACTGATGGGTGAGGCTTGGTGGGATGGGAGTAATGCCCCTAGATGGGACAGGGCCAGGGCTGGATCCCCACAGAGGGGAGAGGAGTATGTGAGTGCCTGCTTCGGAGCCCGCACTGAACCTCTGGTCCAGTGGCCCTGCCTGGCTCAGCCCAGCCTTCCTCAGGTCCCTCTGCCCAGAGGTAGGAGAGAAAGGCCACTAAACCTTTAACCGGCTCTTTCTTGAGCCTAGTGGCATTTTCATCTCCTACCAGGGGCAGTGGTGTGTCTTATACCTTTACTACCACTAATTAAACAACTCAGTGGTTATTCTTTTGAGCAGGATACTCAGTTTTTTTCAGGATACGTTAAAAATCACAGACTGGGCAATTTGATGAAATCGTATGTATACAAACGTCCGGCACATGGCCGGCCTGAAGCATGTCTTTAGCAATTCTTCGGAAATTGGAACTTGGCTGATTTGACACTGGTAACATTAACACTGGGAAGTGTTAATAGGCATCACTAGAAAAAAAGGATTCCGCGGTCAAATAAATTTGGGGAACTGGATTAAACAAGTTCTCTCTGGTAGGACGTATGGCGGTCTTAGTATGTGAACGTGCATTGTGAGTCCAAGAAGGGCTGCGGTAGGCAGGGATGACTGGCTTGCCTGGAGCTGTGATGTTAAAGAAGGAAGGTTTGCCTACTGCTTTTCTAAGGGCGGGACTGGCCAGAGGCTTCTCAGGCCCAGTCTTGCCAAACCCGCGTGCGGGTGTGCAGGGCGCTTTGGAGCTGTGTGGGGCGCGGCCCGTGTGACTCCACAGCAGTCCTGCTTCTGCTTTTCAGCCTCTCCTCCGAGTCTGTCTCTAGAGGCCTGGCCTCTTGTGTCCTTTCTCAGTTCACTGCAAAGACTCGGTGGGGAAGCAACTGGAAATTGGGGAGAGGATAGAGCGGGAGAGCGGTGGGGTGCTGTGGGTCACTTCTCAAGTAGCCCAAGGGAAGGAGCCACCCTTTCAGCACAGTTTGGGGGGAGGTACAGAGTTGGCCTGTTCTGGTCCCTTTGACAGCGACTTAAAGTTCATCTCGTTCATCTAGTTTGGTGACCAAAGTTCATTCAGCTCCTTTATTGGAGGAAGGCATCTGGAAGAAGAAACCGGGGCCCAGAAGTGAAGTGGCCTGCCCAGGGTCACAGGCCAGGACCAGAGTTGTCCTGAAAGCCTTTTTGCTTTCCACGTCTTTCGAACACTTTTGACCATCAGAAAGGAAAGCCACTGTGTTAGAGTGCCCGGAGGACCTGCAGGGTGGTTGGATCCTTAGGGAGATCCCCCCATATCTACTCTGTCCTTGGACAGCAGGGAACCTAGACCACAGGGGTCTGTTACTTGGAGGAGAGGGTGTGGAGAGATGGAAGGTCAGGAGGTTTGGGGAATTACTACTTGTAATAAGGGCTTCTCCACCGACCAGTTTCGTGACTCCAGCAAGATACCTATCTGTATCTCCGTTTTCTCTTTTGTAAAAGAGGATAATAAAAGCAACCAGCCTGAGGGGGTTGTTTTGAGGATTCGATGTGTGTGGAGCAGTGCCTGGTCCCACTAAGCATTAACAAACGTCCCCTTTCATTGTGTGACTGAGGCTGAGACCAGTAGTGGGAGATGGGAACAGGGGAGTGTCACGTGTCTGCCAAAAGCCCAGGAACCACTGCACTGTGAGGGCCTCGCTTTTAGCAGAAACACAAGCTCTCCTCAGGCAGAGATAGGGCCTTCTTTCTTCTTCATCTTTAAATCCCTAGCTCACAGCTCAAGGCCTAGGACACAGTTGATGCCTAAAGACGTGTTTGCTGCCTCCTCAGGGCTGCCTGAGGCAGAGTGTTCTGTCTTTTCCAGAAGCACAGTGGGTCCCTCTCTAGTCCAGGTGCCAGCGAGAAAGTCAGGTGTGGTTCCTCGCAGGGTGAACCCCACGGTCAGGGGACGGAGGTGAGAAGGGGGTGGGCTGCACCCCAGAGAAGGGGAAGCAGATGTCCCAGACTCCCTTGAATACTGCCCATCAAAGTTGTGTAACCTCATCCAGTAAACTAAATCCATTAGAACAGACTCAAGACAAAGCAGAGTGTCCACACTCACTCTGCCTCCATCCCCCTCGCCTCCTGGTGATAGGTGTGGGCGGAGGCCAAGCCCCCTGGGTTTCTTTTTTCAGTCCCGGTGTCCCAGCCGGCACCCCTCTGAGGGTACACAGGCGTGTCCCTGTCCCACCCTGGAGCACAAGCCAGGCAGGCAGAACGATGTCCCCACGCTCCGCACGGTGAGGCCTCACACAGGCCCCGCTGCTTCGGCTGGGCTGCGCGCGCGTGCCCGGGCTGCTTCTCTCCCAGTTCTGCTTCTTGTGTATATTTGCAGGGAAGATGTTAACACTTCCTAACAAGCCTTTGTGTTCACCTAATCTCTGCTGTTTAACCTTTGACTCCCCCCTATTATCAGTGTCTGCCACCTTTGCTGGCCAGCCCAAGGGCCCCAGGAAGCGCCCTCAGCCTGGCCAGCTAGGAGGATGAGGCCGCATTCCACCCCGGTTTTGCAGGCAGATGGATCGCCTTTCCCTGGGGCAGAGCTTTGGGAAATAAAGCAAGCTTGTGGTGCCATTAGGATCCCCCAGCCCCCACTCCTTTTGAACTGTCAGCCTTTAAGTAAACATTCTTCTCCTGCTGTGGGTCCCAGCACCTTGGCGGGGAGCGGAGAACCTGGGAGGAGAGGGGCCCTGAGCGCCTCCGCTAAACTCCCAGGGATTTGGATAGGAGAGCAGGGCAGAAGTGCTGCCTTGATGTCAACTCTCTGAGTCCCTGGGGCAGCGGGGCTTTTGAAGTGGACCCGGAGTAGCTGTCAGCACCAGGCCCAGGCCCCTCTGAAGTATTCAAAGCCCTGTCCGCTCAGGCCCCTCACTTGAGTTTGTGTGTACCTGCCCGCAGCGCTTCCCTTCCCAGCCCACACCCCCACGGTGGCAGGGGGCATGCCGGGCCTGGGGAGCAGGTCTGCCGGCCACTGGCCGAGGCCCCGGACTCCACTTGCACCAGGTTAGACGCCACACGGGCCTGCAGCTAGAGAGGAGGCGCTCTTGGTGACGAGCACCTGACCGGGAGCAAGGAGCTGGGTCCTGACTCCTGACTCCACGGACAGCGGGCCATGAAGCCAGGCGTGAGACACGTTACCTCCCGCTGCGGTAAAGGTCAGATTTCCTGTAGAATGAAGTCCAGTTGTATACATCTGGGCTAGGTATTGCTCTCTGGGTTTTTTGGGTTTGTTTTTACTAAAAAGGATCATTAATCTCTGGACTGGCCCTTGCAGGTGATAGGGATTGTGTATGAAAATGGAGGGGGGGGAAGTCTCAGGGCCAGCACAGTAGTCCAGAGACCCAGCTTCTGAGATGAGTCATGTGGTTTGTCCTCCTAGATTTCTCTTTGTGGATGTACTTCCCTCTCTGGCCTACAAGAGGAGTCAGGCCCACAGGGCCCTGAAAGACCCCAAAAGAGGGAAAAAGTAGCTGGGGCCTTCAGAGAAAGTTGCATGTAAATGGCAACTCTTGGTCCCCAGCTTTGGGGAACAGCCCTAGCCAGATTTATTCTGTCCCTTGTTAGCATACATGTTCCCGTGTTCTTGGGGTACAGCGGAGGCCTGCCTGGAGCTGTATATTATAAGAGGCTGCTTCTGCATGTCTTTGGGAGTCTGAGCCTGAAGCATGAGTCACTCTAATCCCTGGTCTAATCAAGGAACCGTGATGGGTCCTGCCCTTCCACTGCTGGTTTGGCCAATACGCCTTTCATACTGATGTTCTAACTGGCTTCCCTTCTTCCTCTTTGGCTCTGTGGAAAGTGTGGAAGAACAGTGTAGAAAGTTGGCACCAGAGGGCCTGCTGCCCCGTTGCTGGGGGTCACTTTGCTGGATGTGCCGATGACCTCTTGGTGTTCCCACAGGTACTACAAGAAGTTCTCCATTCCCGACCTAGACAGATACCAGCTACCTCTGGATGAGTCCTCGCTGAGCTTTGCTCATGCCAACTGCACCCTGATCATCTCTGTAAGATGCCCATTTCCCATCCCATAGGAGTCCCCGGTTCCAGCCCCAACACCTGGCATGTGCTTGCTAGAGAACAGGCACCTCTCCTTCAGGGTGGGGGGCTCAGCTGATCTTAGAAGTCACAGCTGGAAGAAGACAGGGTGATGTGGAAGGACTGGGATTCTGGTGGAAGGCTCCTATCCAGCCGTGTGACCTTGAGCGAATCATTCAGCCTTGTAGGCATCAATTTCCTCATTTTCAAATAACGGGATCAGAGGAGGCCCGGGGTGTGTATGTAGGGAGGGGAGATGTGGCTGAATGATGTGCTCTTCCTGGTTCCATCCACAGTACCAGAAGCCAAAGGAGGTCCTGGCGGCTGAGTCAGAGCTTCAGAAGGAGCTAAAGAAAGTGAAGCTGGCCCACAGCAGTGACGGGGAGTGTAAGACCCAGTAGCGGAGCATCTCTGAGCCTGCACTTCCGGCAGCATGGCGGGTGGATGAGGCTCTTCCGGACTTTGTGGCTTGGGCCTTTCTGGTGCAGGGGTATGTCCTCTCTTCCGTGAGCTGTCCAGGCTCTGTGAGAACTGGGCCTTGGGGTGCTCCTCGCCCCTATATCATGGTCTGATCTCCCAAGTAAAGTCATTCTGAGTCACTGTTGGGGGACTGCCCTTTTGTCCACCGCTCTATGCTGTCGTCACCAGGGAGGGTGCTGGTGAGGACACTTCCTTCTCTCCTCTCCTCAGGGACCTTCAACATCAAGCCTTTCACATACGCCGATGGAGCAGAGTTGGGGAAGCCCTGAGCCTAGCACGGGGGGCGTCTTCCCCATCCTGTTTGCATAAATTCAGAGGGACACTAGGCTGACAGAGACCCTGGGCTGTCTTAGCTTGCAGAAAGGCCCAGATGAGCTCCCTACAGTAAGGGGAGGTAAGGTAAAGGTTTTGAAATACAGAAACCTTAGAAGCAGCCCAGGATATTAAGACAGAAGGAGTGTTGTATCGTTGCAAAGAGTGTGGGTGGGTTTGTTAGAGTAGGGTGAAGAAGGGTTACGGCAGGTGGGGAGTAGCTTAGCTCTCCAACAGTGCAGAGCCCTTCCACAGTCCCCTACCCCACAGGTGACACACACCCCACCACTGGGGCCAAAGGGGTGAGTGGTAATGAGAGGTTTGGTCTTTGGGACACGCTGAGCCATGAGGCTGGTCTTACCCTTTCCCCAACATGCCCATCCTCAAGTTTGAAGATGTTGTTCCCCTCTTAAGACCTCCCAGGGCTCCCCAGCCAGAGAGGAACTGGATCTGTGAACAATCAAGCTTTATTTTTACAAAAATGAACATTGTGGCATGTCTTAGCAGCCGGCCTGAGATTGGGCTGGCTTAGGACTCACTCAAAACTGCTAGCTTTCCTTTGTCCTTCCTCAGTTTCAAAGCAAGACCAGGCCACAGTGCCCGAGGAATGAGCCCTAAGAGCTTGGTCAAGGGTGGCGACTGAGGAGGTAGGGGCCAGAGCAGAGGATTGGCAGGCTCACCCCTCCTTCGAAGGAAGGGGCAGAAAGGGACCAACTGGGACGGCTGGAGCCCCTCACCTCACTCCACGCTATCATGGCTCTAAGAAGGGGCAAGGTACAGGGCAGGCCTGTCCAGACCAGATCCTTGCTCTGGCCAACAGGGAAGCAGGGCCCGGCCAGGTTCAGCCATTCCCTCAAAGCAGCAGATCCCTTCTCTCCAGTTAGTTCCGGGGGGAAGGAGGGTAACCCCCAAATTCCCGGGAGTCAGCAGCCTTTACCTGACAGTGCCCAAGCACTGTGGTGACAGGTCTAGGAGCACAGGCACGGCGGGGGCGGAGGTATCCCTGCACCCTCCAGGCGGAGGGGTCCCTGAGTAGCTGGCTTCCCTGGCCCACAGGCCGGGTGGCCCCGTCACGGCTTCTGAAAGTCCAGGGCGTGGAGGTCGTAGGACAGTGCAGCGTAGAGATGCTTGGTGGTGAAGCGCAGGCAGTACACAGGGCTGCTGAGCGGGGTCGAGGTCAGCGGGAAGGCCTGCAACCGAGGGCGGGAGCCCTAACCTCAGCTGCCCGGGCCCGGTGCAGACGCCCCCACCTTCTCCAGGCACCCCCACTCCCAGATCCAGCCCCTAATAAGGGGATGCGCGGTGCGCTTACGTGGAGGCAGGCCCTCTGGCGCCGGTCCCACAGCCGCACGACCCCGTAGTAGGAGGACCCAGTAGCCAGCAGGTGGTTCCCATCGGTCTGCAGGCAGTACAGGGTGCTGTCGTGGGGCTCCTCCCACTCCATGACACACTTCCTGTCCGGGAAGAGGCCATCAGAGGGAGGGTCAGGGTGCCCTCCACCCCAGCTGCCACAGGGGCCTTAGAAATCCATTCTGGCCAGGAGACAGAAGCTGAATCACCAGACTCTTTGGAAGCCAGACTTAATGCGGGGAAAGCCGCCTCTGGAAAGGGCTCTTTCTCGCCAATTCCCGAACCCCAGGCCCAATGAGGCCCTCCTCTGTGCTTCACACGGCTGGCTTCGTGTCACAGGACTTGGGCAGCAGGGCAGAAAGAAAGGACGCTGAGGGACAGCACCCTGACGACTCCCCGGGCTCTTAATCAGCGCCTGGTGGCTATGGTCTCCCAGGCCCTGGGACCAGGGCCGCCGAGCAGGGAGTCCAAGCTTGATCTGACCCTGCCGGCTGCCAGTCCCTAGCCTCCAGCTGGAGGGCCCGTGCCTTCCGGGGGCACACCGGGACTGCCGCACACTCACCGGACACTGGCTCGGAGGTCCCAGTAGCGAACGTAGGTGTCATAGCCACAGGACAAGAGTGTGGACGGGGACTCATACATGACATCCAACACCCCAGCCCCTGGGGGGAAGTCACTGCCCAGGTGCGTCATTAGCTGCCCACTGGGGAGAGAACAGAGGGGCAGAGGACGAGAGACTGTCCCGCCTTGGTCCCCACACCAGCTTTTAACCTAATGGCCTCAGTCCCTGGGGAAATGCAGCTCTCCCCCTCCCCCGCCAAGCTAAGATCAAGGCTCCCTGAGGAAGGAGCCAAGGGAAGAAATGGCCCAGGATGCCCACTCTGTCACCCCAGTCGCCGTGCTGCCCCTCCCGCAGCTAAAGGCCTCCATCGGCCCGCAGCCCCTGCCTGCATCGCAGCTGCTCGCCGCCTGGCCACTGCCCCTCGGGGAGGAAGAATGGGCCTCGCGGACAGGCCGGCCCCCCTCCCGTGCGCACACACACACTTGGTTACTTTATACTTCTTGATCCTGCAGGTCATGCAGTTCTGAGCTGCCTGAGTCCAATGCCTTAATTCCTGCCTGTAATCTGGGGCTCAAACCTCATTGGGGATAAAGACCACACAAAGGGAGAAGGGGAGTCCCAGGAGATGTTAAAACAAGTAAACACCTTTGTGTCTGGGGAGAAAAATCGCTGAGAAAGCAGCTTAGCGGGCCGGTCCCCGGTGTTCCTGGCCCGGCTGGCCCCCAGCCCAGGGCTAGCACGCCTGTGTGATCACAGCCCCCAGCCTGCTGGGCTCCAGCGTGCTCCCCCACCCTCGCCCCTCCCGGTGGCCGAGAGCAGATTACTGAGAAGAACAATTTCTTTGTGACTGTGTAATTCCCTCCGTGACCGCGGCAGTGGGCAGACCCCTCGCCCTGATGCCAGACCCTTAGCAACCACGTAGGGGGGCCTTCTGGCCCTAGCAACTACCCCTCAACATCAAGTGCACCCGCTAATCCCTGTGGCTAGGGAACGGGGAGAAGCAGGGAGTTTCTGCAGAATGACTGGAGCGGGGAGGGGGATGGAGGAGAAGAGGGGCACCCTCCAGGCCCGATCCAGCACTTTCACCCAAGAGATGCTGGGCTCTCTTCCCTGGCAGGACAGGAGAAGCAAGGCCATGAACACTTCCCAGGGACACCCAGGTAAAAGGCCCCGGCAGTGGGAGGGAGGACTCCAGGATCTCACAAGCAGTGTTCACCAAAGGGCCGAGGCAGATGCTACCAGCCACAAGTGTGAAAGCGGACTTCAGCCCCAGGCCTTCCAGCTCACACGGACTCTGACCCTCAACCTCCCTCCTCCCCAGTGCAGCCACCATCTTCCCTAGAAGTTGAAGGAATAGAGGCGGCGGCTTGGGGTTCCCTTCTACCTTTCCCCTTTGAGCCCTGGGCAATGAGGTGACCCCCAGCAAGGGACACTGTTGCGGTCAGTGGGAGGTCAGGCCCTAAGTCAGCACCCTGGCCCCCAGCCTCCTTGGCAGATGTTCCTCTTTCTGTGGGAGGTAGAAGGTAAGCCTCCGTGGTGGGGGACCCTGAGATCCCGGGATCAGGCAGAAGGCCACCACCCACAGATCAGCATCTCCTAGAGATGGCTGACCTTGGCTCCCAGGAAGGGCTACCAGCCATGACTGACCCACCCTGGGCAGGCCAGAGTCCTAAGAGGAGTCCGTGCTGCCCCCCACCACCTCTCTTTTACAGCTACTTCTGGACATTTGTGCACACCCAGGTAGGGGGCTGTTTGGCTCCACAGTTCTCCCTCCTTCCAGATTTGGGGGCCCGGCCCCTTCCATTAGTGAGGCCTTCAGGAATGACTGAGGAGCTCTCCCCTTTAATCTGCAGAAGTAATTTCATGTTTGTTTGAAATAGAAGATGAAAGGCGGTGGGGGTTGGGGGCGTGAAGCCCAGCATGGCTCTACCTGCCCACCCCCAGTCCAGGGCTCAGAGGGAAAGAGAGCCGGGCACCCGGGGCCTGGACAGGGGCAGCAGCGTCGGGACCGGCAGCATCAGGGCGATACCCAGAACAAGTTGCCACCCTGGGCCCCTGTCCCAGCATCCAAGCCATCCCTGGAAAGAGTCCTGCCAGTGTCTGTGACAAGAAACAGAACCCTGCCGGCCAGGGGAAACCCGAGGGCCAGAGCGAGCACCAGCCTCCCTGAGGCCAGCCCAAGTCCCGCAGCCCCTTGTCCACCAGACCAGCCTGGCCCGAGACAGAAGAGTTTCTTTCTGCGGCTGCCTGGTGCTCCGATTCTCTGAAACGGCCACACACACTTCAAATGGGCCAATAAAAAGACAAAATTTCTTTTGCTTCTGGGCCTGGGATCCTCACGACTCTGCTGTGCGGTGCCTGGGAGGTGAAGTCCAGGGCCTCCACGGACCCAGCCGGCTCTGGGAAAGGGCCCGTCTCTCCAAACAGCGGCCCAGCGCTGCCATGGGAGCCCTGCTGGGGCTTTGATTTGGGAAAACAAACAGAAATGGCACCATGGGCCCTTCGTGGCCCCCACCCCAAGACCAATTTAACTAGAAAACTCTAGCTCAACAGCTCTGGGGAAGGGAGCAAGATCGGCCCGACAATAGCCTCAAACTTTGGGGGAAAGGGGGACAAAACAAGCTGTCTGTCTCCTCAGCCCCTCCTCTCGGGCTCCTTTTCTTCCTGCAAGTGTGTTCTTGTAAAAACGATTAGATTGCAATTTGTATAACATGGTGACCCCCAAATTCAGACGTTTCACCCCTTTTCTCTGGAAAGAATGTCAAGAATGCTTCTCGGCCTCTCACGGTGGGGGGCGGGAGGGGGGTGCAGAGCCTTGGCTGTCGCACAACTTGTGTGGGAACAGGACTGCCCCTCAGAGTCCCGGGCCAAGACGGCAGCAAGGGCCGGCTCCGTCACTACAGAGGGCCAGACAAAAAGTCCATTCCCTTACAACTCCTGCACACAAAGCCTGGGCCTCCAGGAGCCGCTGGGGGCTGGGCCGGGGGGGGGGGGAGGCTCCACACCCCAGCCTCTCCCGAGCCTGACTCCAGCAATTCTCTTTCCACCCAGGGAAAGATAAAGACAGATGGGGCCACCCCTGTGAGCTTGATGAACGAGCGCGGGCCGGGGAGGGCTGCCCGAAGGAGGCCGGGCTGCGTGCCGCGTTCTCTGGCAGGCCCCAGAGTACCTGGGCGGGAAGAACAAGCAGAGGGCGGCCTCAGCCCAGGGACTTGAGGGGGCGAGCAGGTGAGGGAACCAGGGCTCCCACCCTGCTGCACAGCGATTCCAGCTCAAGGGAAGAGGGAGCCTAGGGAGGAGCTTCCTGACAGAAGGAAATCTAGTAAGATAAGGACCCCTCCACCGCCATCTTTAGGGGACATATAGGGACAGCTAACCGGAGGTAGGTGCTGGCCCTGAAGACCCAGATGTCCCAGTTGCTCCTGCTCTGGGCCTTGCCGAGCCGCAAGCCAGTGGCCACCCTGTCCCGAGTCCGCTCATCCCAGCCTCCGTCTGCCTCCCTGCCCGGCCTGCCCCCGCTCCCAACACAGGCCACGGCCCGCAGAAAGTGCCCGTGTGTTAGAGGGCCCTGAGCTAGGAGAAGCCAGGTCCCCGTCCTGCCCCCCTGCCTGCATCTATGAACGCCTGTGGCCCCCACGCCGCTTTACGGCCACTGTTAACACACGGCGTCCCCGTCCTCGGCGGGGCCCAGTCTGTGCTCGGGACAGAGGATGTTCCCTGGAGATCTAGAAGTTCTTGCTCCTCCGCCTGGCATGTATGTGTGACCCTAAGACACAACGGTGGCTTTCAGGGGAGGGCCAGGATGGAAGAGTGACACACAGTTCACCTTCCCTCAGCTTGGCTCCCGGGGACAGAGGACCTGGAGGTATAAGCTGGCCCAGACACGGTCACTCAGGAGGGCAGGTTTTTCCTCCTTCCCACCCCTCTCCTTCCTCCTTTTCCTTTCTTTGAGCAACAATCATTTAATGAGCACCTTCTGTATACCAGGCACTGTGCTTTAGTAGGAACTGCAGGGAGATGTCAGGGATGGCTTTGAAGGAGCCCTCCCTGTCCTCCAGAAGTTCTCAGTCCAGGGAAGGAGAGAGTCTGTCATGCATCCAACTAACAATACAAGGGGTGACCGGGTGGGTCCCCAAAGAGAAATGAAAGTTTTACTGTAAGAGCACAGATCAGAGAACATTTTGGCCTGTGGGCATGGAGTGGTTCTCCAAGGAGTGACAGAAGTGGGACGGGCAGCGACAGGAGCAGGGGGACGACGCGGGTGAAGGACCCGCCCCAGCAGGGGTGCAGAGCCGGGGCACCGGTGCCAGGTTTGCCCCTGGCAGACCTTCCGGTCTGCCCGGGATCTGGCTTTCGGACCACGACGGCCCTCGGGTGCACGCGCTCGGCGGGCACGAACTCGGGGCGGGGGGGGCAGGGAGTCACCAGTCTTCTCTGCAGGGAGGCGCTCGTCCTGTCCAGCCCTCTGGCGGGGCGGGCGGGAATCAAGGAGGCACAGGATGTCCCCAGTGTAACACCGGAGTGGTGGAGACACGGAGAAGCCCATGGAAACTTCGCCTGCCTCGGCCCCATCAGGCGAGCGGGAAGGGCCCTGCCCGAGCCCACGGCCTCTCCCCTGCATGTGTGCGCGCGTGCGCGGCCCCCCGCGCCCGCCCGCGCACACGTGTTCAGACACAATGGCTCAAAGGCCGGGCAGCCAGGCAGCCCACTTTGTACTGCTAACAAGGGGCCCGTAATTACAGGAAGGGGCAGCCGGGCAGATAAAAGGATACAAAATTTCAACATCTGTTGCCATAAAGGGATAAGGAGAAGTGAAACGCAAAGTATCAGTTTGGTGTCAGCAGGCAGAGAGCCAATTTCAAAGAGTTCAGGGGGACAGAGGGGACAAGAAAGAAAAAGGCAAGGGGGGGAAAGAAAGAAAGAAATTACAGGGTTCCTTAAAGAGGTAAAGAAAAAAGAAAATGAAAAAATCTGTCAGTAATACTTTCAAAGGAGAAGGCAGTTACTTTAAAGAGGGCAGTTCCCCAATCACCCTGACCGAGGGCTGGGCCGCCCGGGGTGGAGGCGAAGGCGGAGGCGAAGGCAGAGACGAAGCCGCACCTGGGCTGGGTGGGCCCGGTCTGTGCCGGGGACGCGGCTCC